TGCCTGCTCCTCGCACCAGACCAGTGGTGTGTGTCCCCAGTCCGGCCCGGCCCGTTCCTGCTCCTCGCACCAGACTAGTGGTGCGTGTTCCCAGTCCGGCCCGGCCCGTTCCTGCTCCTCGCACCAGCCCAGTGGTGCGTGTTCCTAGTCTGGTCCGGCCCGTGCCTGCTCCTCGCACCAGACCAGTGGTGCGTGTGTCCAGTCCGGCACGGCCCGTGCCCGTTCCAGCTGCTCCACTCCGGAGCCAGAGCAGTCCGCTCCACCGGTGCCTGATCCAGCTCCGGTCGGTTGCTCCACTCCGGAGCCAGAGCAGTCCGCTCCACCGGTGCCTAGTCCAGCTCCGGTCAGCTGCTCCACTCCGGAGCTAGAGCAGTCCGCTCCACCGGTGCCTAGTCCAGATCCGGTCAGCGGCTCCATTCCGGAGCCAGAGAAGTCCGTTCCACCGGGGTCCAGTCCAGCTCCGGTCAGCAGCTCCACTCCGGAGCCAGAGCAGTCCGCTCCACCGGGGTCCAGTCCAGCTCCGGTCAGCAGCTCCACTCCGGAGCCAGAGCAGTCCGCTCCACCGGTGCCCAGTCCAGCTCCGGTCAGCGGCTCCAGTCCAGACCCAGACGTCAGCCCCTTTCCAGGTTCGGGGTCTCCCACACCAGGGCCCAGACAGGGCTTGGTGCATCGTGGGAGGAAGGAGAGGGGAAGCAGCGCGCCGAGGTCCAGACCTGACCAGGGGCGCAACGCGGAGGCTGAGAGAATGTGGTCGTCACGCCCGGAGCCGGATCCGCCTCCGAGGCGGAATGCCCACCCGGACCCTACCCTGTTATGTCAGGTTTGTGCGGTCGGAGTCCGCACCTTTGGGGGGGGGGGTACTGTCACACCCTGATTTATGGGACTCTAGTATGTTGAGTCAGGGTGTGGAGATCTAGGTTGTATATTCTATGTTTAGTTCTAGTTGTTCTACTTCTATGTTTGGCCGGGTGTGATTCCCAATCAGAGGCATCTGTCGCTCGTTGTCTCTGATTGGGGATCATACTTAAGTAGCCTGTTTGTTATCATTAGTTGTGGGATCTTGTTCCGTGTAGAGGCTTGTACTGTGTTTAGCCTGAGGACTTCACGTTACGTTGTTTTGTTGTTTTTGTTAGTGTGTTTATCTTTATAATAAACATGTATGCATTTCACGCTGCGCCTTGGTCTGACCCGTCCTTCAACGAACGTGACATCTACGGCCTAGAATCAAGGCCTTTCCCAGTTATGAAGGACGAAGCTAGGCCCCTCTTGGTTCTCATTGGTGAAGACTGAACTCAAGTTAGGGGTTATATGTCAGACTTTCCTATACCACTTTGCCCAACATGTTATACCCCAGAGGCTGTAAAGAAACCCTTTTTAAGGTGATGTAACTTGTATCATTATTATGGGGCTGTAAAACCCATAGCCAAATATCTTCAGACTGAGCATTTCTCACTGGATATTGCTGCTGACATTGAACATAGCTTAGGGTTAGGGTATTTCATTCACTCCAGACTCTCCTATGCCACTTTGCCCAACATCTTATACCCCATAGGTTGTAAATAAACTATTTTTTTTAGGTGCTATAACTTGTATCATTATTATAGGGCTGTGAAACCCATAGCCGAATGGCTTCAGACTGAGCATTTCTCACCATTTTTTTACGGAGAGCAATTTCCATTTTATAACAGGTAGTGTCCATTTATTTACAGTAGTGTGTTGATTAATTATTGCTTTCTTCAGTGGATATGTATAAAAATGCCAAATATACCAAACGCTAAATCAAGCAGAAATGTATGACTATTTAACCATGTTAATCATTACTGAAACATGCAAACTACAAACATTTAACCAGTTAAAGATAATGAATACATGACAACTAGATACAAATATTTTATTAAAAATAATTCATACAAAAGTCAAGAGTGTGTGTGTGTATGTGTCTAAGTGTTTGTGTGCGTGTGTGTGAATTATGGTGTGTATTATAATTTCCCATCATGAAAATGTATCCCCATTCCCCAATCAAATACCTTCATCGATACCACAAAAAAAGAATTCATAGACTTCGACATAGCCTTGTCTGAAATGCATTATGAAAGAAAATAGTGTAATGTAGGCTCCACGAAATATGAAGAAAATGGTGTAGGCCTACTGTTGCCTACACGAAAAAAGGGCCTTTCTGACTACAAGTGCCCCAAAGTATTAAGCGAAAACAAGCATAGAAAACAGTATCGGCATTAATAAATAACAAAACAATGTAAGGATATTATAATATTATAATTATTTCGGTGACAACCTGGTTGATCAACAATATTGGGCTGTTAACATTTAAAAAAAAATAATATATAAATAAATGTGGGACACAAAAAAAAAGGCAGTGTAGAACACCATTGCCCATCATGAATTGTTCTAATAACTTTCAAAAGATTGTTCCGAAGTTTGCCCCTAAAAAATGTATTTTCCTATGAATGAAGTCGCACAAAATCTGCTGAAATACTTTTTGTACATATTTGCACAAATTGAGTTTGAGATTGTGTTGCCATTTCAATGAGACCACACATACTAGGCGCACTTGAACTCTAATGCCAAACTAGGAGAGGTAGGCTATTGAAGTTAAAGCAGCTAATTCTGAGTGTGTGAATAATGCAAAAAATATTTGCTTTTAATACAATATGTAGGCAGAAAGCAGAAAGAGGACAGTTTCCAAATAATCTTTGGGACAACAAAAATATTTGCATCCCAAAGTAATCTGTCTGACCAACCGCAGCATGAAAAATGCAGACCGCGCCGCATTGAAGACAGGGGTCTCAGCAGGGTCAGGCAGCCAGGGAAGACCAGTCTGTGACGGAGCTAAGGTGAATTTTTGCAGAAACAACACTTTATTCTCTCTGTGCAGTAAACACTTGAAAAGCCAGATGCTATTTTAAGGCAGTCTGACAAACCTCCCAAAGTTGATTTCCAAACTGTATCAAGGGTTGATAGAGGCTTTTCCTGATGACACAAAACATGTCAAACAAAAATGTGAGGAAGACCTGGTAGAAGCTATTGATGATGATGATGAATATATACAGACATGTTAGAATGCCCAGTCATGTTCATATAATCTCAGACATAAATTACTGCCGTTTAAGACCATCCATATAACGTACTATATTCCAGTGAAACTGAATTACATGCACTCAGAAATGTCATTCCTCTGCTGGAGGTGTAAAACACCAAAGGTGACATATTTGCATATGTTATGGTCTTGTGTAGACTGGCTGAATTCTGGCAAAGAGTATGTTCTTTTATCTCAGCATGTCTACAGATTCTCCCTTCTCCCTGTTTTTGTTTGCTTGGAAATGTTGATACTGGAGACTGTTATCTGAAGAAACTGTGTAACCAGGCATTTATAGCAGCTAAGAAATGCATTTCCATTAATTGGAAGGTTGGTTATCCTCCCACAATGTCAAGTTATGTATCACTAGGTTTGATTTATGACAAGATTAAGGGTATACTGGGCAACTTTCATAAGGTCTGGATGCCTTATATGGAATACAGTACGACTAATGGAGTCTGTTTTGAAAATATGCCCACGTCAAGGGAGATACAGTGGGGAGAACAAGTATTTGATACACTGGCGATTTTGCAGGTTTTCCTACTTACAAAGCATGTAGAGGTCTGTAATTTTTTATCATATGTACACTTCAACTGTGAGAGACGGAATCTAAAACAAAAATCCAGAAAATCACATTGTATGATTTTTAAGTAATTAATTTGCATTTTATTGCATGACATAAGTATTTGATCACCTACCAACCAGTAAGAATTCCGTCTCTCACAGACCTGTTAGTTTTTCTTTAAGAAGCCCTCCTGTTCTCCACTCATTACCTGTATTAACTGCACCTGTTTGAACTTGTTACCTGTATAAAAGACACCTGTCCACACACTCAATCAAACAGACTCCAACCTCTCCACAATGGCCAAGACCAGAGAGCTGTGTATGGACATCAGGGATACAATTGTAGACCTGCACAAGGCTGGGATGGGCTACAGGACAATAGGCAAGCAGCTTGGTGAGAAGGCAACAACTGTTGGCGCAATTATTAGAAAATGGAAGAAGTTCAAGATGACGGTCAATCACCCTCGGTCTGGGGCTCCATGCAAGATCTCACCTCGTGGGCATTTTTGCTTACTTTTTTATTCTAAATAGAAACAGCATATTGGATTGTGTAAAAAAGGCAGGAAATTAGCTTTAGATGCCCAAACAAATTCTGGGGGAGGACCCCCAAATCCCCCGCCAGGTTATGTCCCGACCACTTCTAAAAACAAAATGGCGCCCCTGATAAAAATACATCAATAACAAATGGGTTACAAAAGATGACACATTGGAAACACATTTGTGAACAGTATGTTCAAACTGGGTCTAACTAATACAAATTAAATCATAAATATGTAGTAGCTACCAATGCCATCCCCAGAGTACTATACCTAACATGACTGGAAGACTGACTACAGGGAGGCGCTTTCATGGATGCTGGAACCTCAATGGCTTGGTAAGCTTTCTATATAAGGATCATTGCTTGTCCATGATGAAGATCATTCTGCTTGTTACTCTGGGGGTTACCCTGTTCTGTCAGGGGTACAGCAGTAAGTATGGGACAAAGGATCATCTAGATAATAATAATTTGTACATTTAATTAGTATCACTTGAAATTAAATGTAATATACCTGTTCAAATATAATAGAACTTTGTAAGTATAATTGAAAGTACATCACATGGGTTAAGGGTAGGCCTATTATTTTGCCAATGTATGATCTATTCACAGATCTCTTCCCTTTGAGTAATATAACTTTTTTATTTTACTTCCTCTGTGAGTTTATCTCATGTAGATCAATATCATTCATCAGTGTGTAACAATTTGCACTGTGTGTGTATCCAGACACCCTGGACACCAGTGAGGGTCGCTGTTGCTGGGCAGACCCGAACAAAACCTGTCAGTGTAACACAGCCTGTGAGCGCTATGGAGACTGTTGCTCTGACTATGAAAGCCTCTGCAAAGGTGAGTGACAGTAAGCAACTCAGTCAGTGCAGGTGTTTTAATGATGGTAAAAACTGTCCTGAAATGTGTAATTGAATTATCAATAAAATAGGCAGTTAATAGGGAGTGTCCAACCCTATTCTAAGCACTTCACCTTGTTAGTCAGTTAGTAAGAATAGTTTATCATCTGTTAGAAAAGTATTGCTTTGTTTATTGGCTCTAAGCCTAGTTAAATTGTATACGCTATGAACTCCACCAAAATAGCCAAAAGCTTAGCACATCATCGTATTTTCATGTCAACAGAAGCAGGGTGTAAACTGTTCTTTCTTGTTCCTTTTCTCCAGCTTGCTCCACATCCTGAAAGGGCCGCTGTGACGAGAAGTACAACTCTCAGAACAAGTGCCACTGCAACTCCAAGTGCTCCCAGTATGACAACTGCTGCAGTGACTATGCAGCCCTCTTTAATGGTGAGAGGGGCCTGTGCCATTCTGATCTGGAGGCATGCAAACAAAACCATGTCCCTGAAACATATCACACAGTCTACTACACCTAGGCACAGTTAATTATTAATCTGTTATCAGTTTGAGCTGCCCTTTTTTCCATCCTAGGCAAGTAGCCACAACTCCTGGTGAAATTCACATAGTGGTCGAGGTCGATCACAGTGCACCATACAGATACTCCTGCATCATATGTGAAAGAGTCCTTACTACACAACCTTTGTGAACAAAATCAAAATGAACATATCGGCTCAATATTAGACCAGTCAGCTATTCACCTTGCTGTGGGCCACAGTGGCAGGATGGCTCACCAGTGGTTGAATCAGGGTGCATCAGTCTTTTTACAGCAGGAGAACGCATGTGTGTGTTTGGCCAGTAGGGGTCATTCTTGTCCAATGTAAATTGTCACTCATCATGCACATCACACCAATCTTCAATAGGCACCATACGTGAAACACAGGACTCTGCAGTTCATGCCACTTTTAGACATTAATGTTAAAATGTAATATTACGCTAAAACATAATAATTATGACTTAGCACCCGCTCCAGGATTGTCCTGCCAGGGCCGCTGTGGGGAGAAATACAACTCTCAGAATAAGTGCCACTGCAACACCAAGTGTGGAGCGACTACACCTCCCTCTGTGGAAGTGGGTTAACTGTTACTCAAATGTTACACCAAATGTCTTACAACCCATGTAATGTATTTGTCCTGTAGTACATTATAATGATTTAATGACCCACAACAACATTGAAATGACCTATGAAATGTTAAAACAATGCCATTACTTCTCTGTGCTACATTTTACATTTACATTTTAGTCATTTAGCAGACGCTCTTATCCAGAGCGACTTACAGTTAGTGCAACAGTACAATGATTGTTAATGTAAGCTGTTCCCCATGTTTCTGATACTGTATGTTCTATGGGTGGTAGTCTATTTTAGGTTCTATGGGTTCTATGTGTGTTAGGCTATTATAGGTTCTATGGGTTCTATGGGTGGCAGTCCCTGAAATAAAGTGTTCCTTCTCTGTGTCTGTTAGGCTCTGGTGGTGGAGATGGAGGCAGTGACATCACTGATGCTGAGATCCAGTCTGTCTGAGGCTCTGTACGCTCTGGACTCCAACAAGCTCTCTGCGTCAGAGCTAATCATTTACTCCCAGGCCAGAGTGCCTGACTCCCAGCCCAGCTCCCAGAACAACCTTTGTTCTCTTATTCCTCTTCCTCTGTCTCTTTCTCCCTCCCTATATCTTCATCCCTCTTTCTGTCACTGTCCAACCTCCCCCTTCTTTTTGCCCCTTGCTCTATCTCTTTCTCTCTCTCTGACCTATATCCTGACTGTGTTGTCTTCCATCCAAGCTGTTCCAGTTCCTGGACGAGGCATCTCTGTTCTCTAAGCAGTCATATGCTGCCTTCATGGCCCTGCTGGACAACTACGCGAGAAACACGGGCACCACAGAGGACTTTACCACCCAGCAGCTGGCTGAGCAGGACACCTTCCTCAGGGAGACCATGTCCGACTGAGCTGGGCAGAGAGCTCCCTCTTCACCAAGGGTATTTACAGTGCCTAATGAAAGTCTACACACCCCTTGCACAGTCTTCACATTTTGCTACCGATGTACACAACCTACTCCACATTTCCAAAGTCAAAGAGAAATTAGAGAACATTTTCCTAATTAATAAGAAATAACAAAACTAAAATGTCTTGATTGTGTATGTCTTCACACCCCAGAGTTAATACTTGGTGGAAGCACCTTTGGCAGCCATTAAAGCTGTAAAACACTTTGAATAAGATTATATCAACTTCGCACAACTGTTAGGGCAACATACAGTGCATTCGGAAATTATTCAGACCCCTTGACTTTTTCCAAATTTTGTTGAGTTACAGCCTTAATCTAAAATGGATTCGATCGTTTTTTCCCCTCATCAATCTTCACACAATACCCCATAATGACAAAGCAAAAACAGGTTTTTAGACATTTTAGAAATTTTAAAAAACGGAAATATCAAATTTACATAAGTATTCAGACCCTTTGCTATGAGACTCGAAATTGAGCTCAGGTGCATCCTGTTTCCATTGCTCATCCTTGAGATGTGTCTGTAACTTGATTGGAGTCCACCTGTGGTAAATTCAATTCATTGGAAATGATTTGGAAAGGCACACACCTATCTATATAAGGTCCCACAGTTGACAGTGCATGTCAGAGCAAAAACCAAGCCATGAGGTCGAAGGAACTGTCCGTAGAACACCGAGACAGGATTGTGTCAAAGGCACAGATCTGGGGAAGGGTACCAAAAAATGTCTGCATTATTGAAGGTCCCCAAGAACACAGTGGCCTCCATCATTCTTAAATGGAAGAAGTTTGGAACCACCAAGACTCTTCCTAGAGCTGGCCGCTCGGCCAAACTGAGCAATCGGGGAAGAAGGGCCTTGGTCAGGGAGGTGACCAAGAACCCGATGGTCATGCTGACAGAGCTCCAGAGTTCCTCTGTGGGATGGGAGAACCTTCCAGAAGGACAACCATCTCTGCAGCACTCCACCAATCAGGCCTTTATGGTAGAGTGATCAGACAGAAGCCACTCCTCAGTAAAAGGCACATGACAGCCCGCTTGGAGTTTGCCAAAAGGCACCTAAAGGACTCTTAGACCATGTGAAACAAGATTCTCTGGTCTGATGAAACCAAGATTGAACTCTGTGGCGTGAATGCCAAGCGTCACGTCTGGAGGAAACCTGGCACCATCCATACAGTGAAGCATGGTGGTTGCAGCATCATGCTGTGGTGATGTTTTTCTGCGGCAGGGACTGGGAGACTAGTTAAGATCGAGGGCAAGATGAACGGAGCAAAGTACAAAGAGATCCTTGATGAAAACCTGCTCAAGAGCACTAAGGTCCTCATACTGGGGCGAAGGTTCCTCTTCCAACAGGACCACGACCCTAAGCACACAGCCAAGACAACGCAGGAGTGGCTTCGGGACAAGTCTCTGAATGTCCTTGAGTTGCCCAGCCAGAGCTCAAGGCTGTAATCGCTGCCAAAGGTGCTTCAGCAAAGTAGAGTAAAGCGTCTGAATACTTATGTAAATGTGATATTTCCGGGTTTAAAAATAAATAAATGTGCAAACATTTCTAAAAACCTGTTTTTGCTTTGTCATTATGGGGTATTGTGTGTAGATTGTTGAGGAAAAAACAATTTAATCCATTTTAGAATAAGGCTGTAACGTAAAAAAATGTGGAAAAAGTCACAGGGTCTGAATACTTTCCGACTGCATTGTTTTTGTCAAAATTGCTCAAGCTCAGTAAATTTGGTTGGGAGTCATTGATGGACAGCGATATTCAAACCTTGTCTCTGATTTACAAGCTGATTTAAGTCAGATTGGACCATTCAGGAACACTGAACACCTACCCTGATGTTCTGGGAATGCAGTTTATGTGGGATGGCTACTTCAAGCAGGTTGGTTCTGCCATCCAGAGGTGTAGTCCAGGGTATACGCTGGTATACGGCGTATACCTACTTATTTTTCAGTCAGCATTGCGTATACCCACTTCTAAATCCCCCCTGATGCGCATCATTCAGTAATATCTGTGAGTCAGATTGCCTATTTTCTTCCTCGGGGATAGTGAAGCCATGACCCACCCTCCTCTGCCTCTAATTGGCTGGTACTCGCTGCTTTCACTGATTAGATTGGTTAACTTTAGGCATGAGGACTGATGAGCCAATCAGAGGCAGAGTAGGGCGGGTCATGCCGAGGAAAATATCGCTAATACCTCAGGTGCCAGTGAAAAAAAAAAAAAAAAAAACTCAGGTGCCGGTGCCACTTGACTACGATAACGGCAGCAGACCAAACAACGGATGAAGAAAGGACACAAGCGGCGGTGTGCCACCCCAGTTGATGGAAGACATCATTCTGAGGTAAGTTTTAAGGTGGTTTCCAAATGAATCATTATTTTAAACTACTGGCAAATTGCCAGTGACTGCACATTTAGAGGAGAAGAGATGTTGCCGCCAATAGTTAGTGCGAGTCGGCTAACGTTATGAAGCTAGCTACGTAGATTGGGATAATGTGGGGAAACCGGGGCATTGTTGGTTTTCAGTAAGTGTTTAATCAACCCAGTTCATAAGAATTTCATACCAGACTGATGAAACTGATTATCTCAATGTTTATGAAGCTTGTTTATTATTGTAAAGGTCTAAATTATAACGTTAGCCAAGTTACTAAGCCCTAAATTATAACATTAGCCAAGTTACTTAGCCCTAACTAACCTATATGATCTAGTTTAATTGCATAGTAGCTAAGCTGGTAGTTGATTTTTAAGTAAGTTAAAACACAAGAATGGGGACAAATAGTTTAAGATTCAGCCTAAAACAATATTGAGGTCTAATCAGGCTGTCTTATTTTGTATAGGGACAGGTAACCATGAAAAGGAAGGGAGATATTGCAGACTTTTTTGTAAAGAGGCACAAATCAGGCCCAGATCAGGCCCAGGCAGACCCCACCCCTAAAACCAGCAGCCCTGGCAGCTCTCAACCGGGAGCTAGCCAGGCAAGTCAGTGTGAGCATAGAGAAGGATCCAGTCTACCACCACCAGGTCAGAACACACAGGCAGTAAATTGCATCTCCAGTTTATTGAAAAGTGAAGCCTCACACTGTAACAAAAGGTGATTTTGACAGATTAAGCCTCATTTTGAATTTCTGTGTGATGTTATTTATTTTATTGCCCTTCTATTTATTTTGTCTGTATCCATGTTTGTTTTTTACAATGCTACTGTTATATAACATTTTGTACATTTTGTGTTAAATTTGTTGTTTTTTTGTTAAATAAACTCTCCCAAGTATTTCACTCACTAATCTCCTGTATGCTTCAGCTTCACTTGCTGAAAATATTTCCACTTGGTTATGCAGATTGTTAATGTAAAGAGGGGGACCCATGTCTTGCTGATGACTATTGTGATCACAGTAGTGTGTGTGTGTGTGTGTGTGTGTGTGTGTAAGTGTGTGAGAGAGAGAGAGACAGGGAGATGCATAATTAGTTTTGTTGTTGTCTGTAGACATCAATAATGACTGGCCAGACCTGTGGAGTGCTAAACAAACAGAAGACTTCAAATCCAAGAACCCCTGGTTGGGATCCAAAAACAAAAAATTGGGTAAGTTTAGGTAGATTGCTAGTTTGGGTAACTTCTGAAACAGTGGGCACAGATAACTTTGTGTGTGTGTGTGTGTGTGTGTGTGTGTGTGTGTAAAGGACCATGCACACGTACAGCTGTGGATACAGGAGTAGTTACATTGTTTGTTTATGCTTCGCAGGATGTCTGGTCTGTAGCAGTGTGAACTCCATTGGGATCGACAAGGAGCAAGGACAAGGTGTATCGCTCTCAAGAGAATGGATGAACTTTGAAATTCAAGTGTCTGGCCAGGGAAGTAGAACAACAAGTTTGTCAATCTTGAGAAATAAGGTGAGGAAACATGCGTTGTCCAAGGCCCACACTCAGGCTGTGAAGGTGGCAGAGCAACAGAAAGAAGCTGCCATTGAGAATGCAGTGGAGACTATGACTGAGTCCTACATGAAGGAAACTGAAGCTGTGTTTCGAACAGCCTACCATCTGGCCAAAAAGAACCGACCCTTTTCTGACCATGAGAGCCTCATTGAGCTGCAGGAACTGAATGGTGTAAAAATGGGCTCAATACTTCATTCACGTTACAGTGCAACACAAATAATACAACATGTTGCTAGTGAGATGCAGAGCAAAATCATCAGTAGCATTATAGCATCATCCAGTAAGTTAGCTGTCCTAATTGACGAGGCATCTTCTTTAAGTCACAAAGCTGTCATGACAGTTTCTATTAAAGCATCAATTCAAGAAGAAAGCCCTGAGTTCATATTCCTGGAACTTGTTGAACTGGAAAATCAGAGAGCAGATGGCATATTACAGGCGTTACTCACCTGTTTAACTAATGCTGGCTTTACAGAAGAGTGGCTTCATGAAAACTGGGTAACATTTGTATCTGATGGAGCCAGTGTCATGCTAGGAAAGAAGTCAGGAGTAGCAACCAGACTGACTTTGAGATTCCCAAAGCTTTTTGTATGGCACTGCATGAACCATAGACTTGAACTTGCTGTGTCAGATGCAGTTGATGAGGTAAACTCTGTCAATCACTTTAAAACTTTTATCCAGAAGCTATACTCTCTGTATAGTGTGTCAAACAAAAATGAACGTGAACTTGTTAATGCAGCAGCTGAAGTAGGCTCACAACTTCTTCGCATTGGCAGAATCTTGGATGTACGCTGGGTGGCCAGTAGCTTTCGGACTGTTCGTGCTGTTTGGACATCCCTGGGAGCTCTTGTGCAGCACTTTAAAAATGCTTGCAGTGATGAGATGAGGTCCACCAAAGAGAGGCAGATGTACAGAGGTTTGTTAGACCGTGTTCAAAGTCCAGAATTCATTTGTGACCTTGGCCTCATGTACGACACTCTCCATGAACTAAGTCTCCTGTCACAGGAGCTTCAGTCTCGTTCTATAACGCTCCTCAGAGCAGAGCATCTGCTGAAACGCTCAATCAGAGTGATCCAGTCATTCAAAGAGAGTCCAGGTGAGAAATATAGTGAGGCTTTAGAAGCAAAACAGACTGGGGAGTATCGGTCTATAGCCCTGAAAACAAATGCAAAGCTGAAGTCTATCAATCCAGGCCAGTTCTTACAAAGCCTTGTGAACAATCTGGAGAAACGCTTGTCTTTTGAAGATGAGACCATCATGGACCTCAGCATCCTTGATCAGAGTAAGTGGCCATCAAAGCCCAGCATCCGCCATGGTGAAGAACAAGTTAAGCGACTGTGCAAGCGATTTAACTTGTGCACAGACCAAGCACTGAATGGGATGCGGGACCTACTGGAAGAGCCCAGTAGTGAGCCCAAGGACCTAAAACCACTTATGAACTGTATGAAAACATTCCCTGTCGGTACAGCAGAGTGTGAGAGGAATTTTAGCCTTATGAACAATATAAGCTCAGACAAGAGGGCTGTCCTTCTGATCTCAAACATATCAAACTTGATGATGATTAATATCAACGGCCCACCAACTTCCAAGTTTGATCCTAGAAAATATACAAGGACCTGGTTGAAGAGCCATCGTGCTGCCTCTTCGGTGCGTTCTAGACAGTGCAGTGTGAAAGCTCCTGCAGAAAGCAAATTTGTCTGGAATATACTGTAGTATGAGCAAAGGTCAGAAACCCAGTGCTGGGTTGAGAGAGTATATCACTGTTGATGTGTTGTTAATGCATATATTTTTGTTAATTGTTAACTAAATATTGTTGTAACATATTTTGTTGAATGATTTACCGGTAAATGAACATGTTCAAAACAAAGCATATAGCAATATGAACAAGGATGCATTGTCACCTTCAGATTTGAAGTATTTTATTTAAATAAATGTGCAAAAAATAATCGAAACACCATTTCCTGTTTGCCTCATGATAAATACATTTTACATTCATCCAGGCTGCTCTTGTGACCAGTAGTAACTACAAACTGCTCCTAATCAAGTCATGATCATTTTATAATAGTGTGCAAGTAGAAATTACATATTTTTGGGTAAACTAAATCATAGTCTTACATGTCACTGTTTCTAAAACAGGGCTTTTTTCTGGACTACTTAAAAAAAAAAAAGGTGAATACTGAGAGTATACCCACTTCTCCAGGGACCACTACACCACTGCTGCCATCATTGGCTGCAGTTCTGAGTTCGACTTGGCCATCTATAGTCTTTGCTACATCACCAGTCCAGGGAGACAGTGAGCACTCTGTGTGTGTGCTTGTTGCCATTGAGTGTTATGTTTCATCTGGTTTTCTGTGTCCAGGTGTAAACTGAGCCTGGGAGGAAAGCAACTGGTGATCCAGACCTACACCTGGGACAACTCTTCATATGGGAATGGGAAGAAGTACATTGGCCCCGCCTTCCCTGCCACACCCTAGAACTGAAGCACAGAGCAGCCACTCAGCATTCCATAAGCTAGCAACAGTCTGCCAATCACATCCCGCATCATACTCAACAATGTCCAATCTTAGTCCTGATACATAGGAGCATTTCATTATTTATATTTGTAAATGGGTAAATTTTTTGGTAAATGGGACAATTAATGTATGAATGTTTTGCGCTCACTATAAATGTAGCTAGGTGTAAAACTCAGTTGGAATAAAGCGAAGGTGACATGCCATTCAATGTTGGGGCTCAAACCATTTCTGCTCATGACTATTTGTACAATTGTGATTATTTTAGGTAACAATGTAGTGATTTCTCAAAGAATGGAGGTGATGATTCTAATAAATCAGGTGAGCCCAGTAAGAGGTTTAGGTTGTAATGTTTTACAATCACAGTGGTCAAAACTTGTCCATTAAATGACCAAGAATAGTGCATTAGCTCTCCACTCCTGAAAATAAAACAAGTCCAACACCAAACAGTTAGGGCTCTATTCAATCTGTATCGCAGACATTCAGCATTAGAGCGTGATTTAAATTTAAAGGCACATTTCCAGCATCAGCGGAGACTGCATTTACAGTAAACACTGTATATGTCTGCTCAATCGGAAATTACCTTGACATTTCTATTGCGCAATCTATAGCTTCAGCAATACAGATTGAGTAGAGTCCTTAGTCAAGCAATGAAGAAATCTGCAGGGTATGAGAATCCCATGCACTCCTGAGGGCATGATCAAACTATGCCCAACGGGGCTGAAAATTGGCATTTACACGCTCCTAGAACGGGCACATGGTGACACCCCACCACAAAGAGCATGTGTGCATCTGACACAATCGCTTACTGTCTTACCCCCTAAAAAAAAGAAAGTAAAAAAATAAGCAGTCTCCTGCACCCCTCACCAACAAACGAATGTAAACGAATAGAAACAAAAACACATTTAGCGGATCCTATTCTGCTTGACCTACTCCAAACCGTACCCACTACCTAAACCTGTTCCTATCAGCTGTCCGTAAAGCCCTGTGTGTCCCACCCCAGCTGGGGTTTAGGATCTGCGTGTGTGTGAGGCTGCTTCCAGCTGGGATGGGGGGTCGAGTTTACCCTTTCACTCATCCAGGGTGACTAACGGGATAAACTCTGGGTCTGCCGACGGGACAGGGGGACACACTTGCAACCCTGTTTAAAGAAAGTATTAGAGGAGATGGATCTGCCTTAGATCCCATTGTCCCCCGGTATGTGTGCGTCCGTGCCAAGTGAGAACACAAGGCCAGTCACTTCATACAAAAACCACATCTTTCAGGAATTCATCTGATTTGGGCCTCAACAAATGGGCTGAGTCTCACATCGACCTGACAATAAAGATACGCTCTGTGAGTCATTTCCCCAGTTCAGTTTTGTCAGACCATATTACATTTTCTGGGCCGGCGACTCTGAAAATTAGAAGAGTAAATGTTCTCTCTTTCACACTCCCCTCTTTTTAAACCCGAAATGGAATCAAATTAAACCACAGTGGGGCGAGTGAGAGAAAAAGATTCAATTGTTCCTTTTGTCACTCTCACATTTCATAATCGAATTATAGCTGGCCACCCGCCAACCCCCCCACACATAGGTCCCCAAATGGGCTCCCCCTGGCAGATATAGTAGCCACCTGACTTTTGTTTTGTAATTATATTATCCCGCTCTCTTTAGCGTGTCGTGGCTAATGGCTGAGCGGGCCAGTCCAGCTGCACATGTAGAAACAAAGCTGCTTATGGGACCAGACAATAGGCTCGTGGAAAAGGGACGCCTGAAGGCGGTCGGCCAATGAGCACGCACTGCAGGGGGCCAACGGGGGGTTTAGGGAAGGGTTAAGGGGGTTTGGGGTGTAGCTGGGGGGTGTCTATTTTTGTGGCCCCGTGGAGTGGCCTCATCAATGGGATGGTTGGTAGAAGGACACATGGTCCAGATCACCAGAACGTTTAGGGCTTAGATTGGAGGGAGGTTCAAGTGTGGCTAAGTGTAACTTCCAAGCTGATGAGGGACCATGAAACTCAGAGTAACTTTCATTCTCTGGAGGTCTGTTTGTCTTTCTGAACGCTCTATAATAAACAATATGATGAGCCTATTGTCATCCCTATTCAAAACATCAATAGTGTTTGGAGAGAATTTAGGGGCCACAAGTATTACGTAAAGAGGTGAATGTGATCTGTTACTCAAATAAAATGTAAAAACACAACAACCAAAATACTATTGCACATAGCATAATTGTAATAGCATCATTTCTGATATGTGATATTGTGAATAAAAGTGTTTACAACTTGATTATAGTTGCACATGCAGTCTTTCCAGACCAATCGTGACACCCAACCCCCCGCCAACACATACACATACACACGTAAGTGCTCTCTCCTCATTCCCCACTAGGGTATCAAGATTTCTCATAGGACTCCCAGTCTGACAGATGGACGCAGCCCCCTCTCCCTACAGTAACTGAAAACAGGAGCACTGGGGATTCAGGAAGAGGTTGTGTGTGTGTGTGTGTGTGTGTGTGTGTGTGTGTGTGTGTGTGTGTGTGTGTGTGTGTGTGTGTGTGTGTGTGTGTGTGTGTGTGTGTGTGTGTGTGTGTGTGTGTGGGCATTGTGTTCTGCTTTCTGCAGCTAAAGCTGCTGCCCTCTCAAGCAAACATACAAACATACCTACACAAGGTGAGGAGGGAGAGTCCTTAGGGGTCAATGTTAGGTCAGGTGAGAATACAAGTGCATCTGAGCCGCTAGCAGATAGTTACTGAACGAGAAAAAAGGGGGGAGAGGAAGGAAGTATGAGCCATCTGTCAGAGAAGTTCATAGTGCATGACCAACACCAAGGGGACCAGGGGACATGACAGCAATCATAGCTACCTCTTTACCACTTGTGGAATAGGGATATTTCTCCCCCTTTAATGTTGCTCCATCTATATTTTACTCCAGATAAATTGAAATGTGTGAAAATGTATGACAACAAAAAAATGTGTGAATGGAATGTGAGAAAAGTGGCAGCTTGTCTTGATATCTAAATGGGATCTGTTTATTTTGTCTTATTTTGTGTCACCCATGGTTTGCTTATGTGTCTGCCAAAGTGCGGCTATTCCCACTCTGGGGAAGAGCGAGGCCTGGCTCAGTTATTCCCATTCTGGGCTGCAGGTGTGGAGTAGGACAGGCAGGGACCCAGGGGGAGAGGAGGGGGAGGGGGATGGGGGAGGGGGGGTCGGCTGGGGATTGTGAGGGTAGTGTGAGACACATCCTTTGGGTGCACAGACAGTCCCCCCATCCAACCCCTCACTCACCTCTCCCTCCAACATGAGCACATGTGATTCTTTCTCTCATGGGACAGTAGCACTTCCCTCCATCTCTCATTATCTGTCCCTCACACAATCACACACACAGTGTATCTATTGAAGGTAAAGTCTATACAGAGATGAACATACATTTAAAAAGTATGATTGTAAAATAATTCACAGAATAAGTAAATAAAATGCTCTGTATAACCCACATAACTAGAATCATTCTATTTCTATGGTATAACCTAACTTGCTACACAAGTAATAGCCCACTTGTAGCTAGATGGCCTATGTCTCCATTCGCTTAGTTTGCTCTGTCTTTCACCTCAGGACTTCACTATGCAGGCGCCGCGCCTGTCCCGTCTCGTGAGGGGTGTCTCTGGAACCCTATTTAATTAGCGTAATTGGGTGCAATGAGTGCACGCCGGAGGCCAATATCTGTTCAGCATACGCGGAAGTATGAATGGACCGGGGAATGGCGCGAACACCTGCTCACGCGCAACGCAAGCTGTCACAATCGGTTAAGATCGACAGACCATTTCAGTCTATGCTAAAGTTGCGCTGCTTATTTGTTGACAGAGACTGCTAATACAAATTGTAAAAAATAAAAAATAAACTATCGCAACTATGAACATTTTCTAATGTAGTGCCGCAATAATGTCATGAGCCATAAGAGCTTAGGCCTGCAGGCTATCAGTCTAATCAAAACGATTTTGTTTCACACACACGCACACACACACACACACACACACACACACACACACAAAACTAGTGAACTGTTTTTGTTCATGACATTGGCCACGGGCCGGGCCACGCGCGCGCTCGAGCGCAGATTAATTGGATGCGAGAGGATGAGAGAGTGGGAGGAGGAGCCTGTCTGTAGGTCGGACGCTAAAACCCGGGGCCCCTGCGGAGTGAACCGCAGAGAGGCGTCACTCTGGGATGGAACACTGACAACAACTGCGAAGGAGACGCAGGGGAGAAAGTTAAAGATTGAGTGCTTTAGGCTAGTTGAGAAAGTAACCTGTAGTCTAAGCCCGCTCAACAGCCAATAACATCTCACAGGAGGTCCTTGGGAGCGTTATTTCAAATATCAGGTAGACCAACCTCATCTTTCTCATTTCGAATTAATGTCAATGTTTCTTTCTCAATGGATAATAGTATATTTCTAATAGCATAGGCCTATTGACTATTCTAACATTTTAATAATATTTATGTGAAGTTGAATGTGAAAAGTGAAATTTTGACCATTTATAAATTGGAAGGGTATAGGTTATTATTTGACATTTTCGAAATGTTGGGTTAGGCCCATAGGTTATTCGGCTAAATAACAGGAATGAGGCATATGCTACATGTACAGCTGCAACCGTGTTAAGGTATTAGATAGGCTACAGACAGATTAATAAATAGTTATCATCAATTTAGGATTCTTAAGAACTGTGACATGATTATTAGTCACTAGGCTACTGTTCTTAAATTATGCCTAGCATAATCTTAACGGGAGAACGTTAACAGGTGTAAGCCTACTTAAAGTGGCAATCAGCAGTTGACACAATAACAAAGCATAGTCCACTCCCCTGTTTCTGTAAAAAGCTGAAGGATGGGGCTGGAGAAATGTAACCAATCTCAAATTCATAGACAGAGCTATGCATGCAAGGAATGCCCATCCAAGATATCCAAATGATAGTTTTAACCATGTTTTTA